TGTTCCGTGGATTTCGTTGCATATCTTTGGAGGAAAAGAAGCCATTGCTAAAATGTGTCACTTTAACTCCCAAATCATGTTATCGGCGGTGGGGTAGCCTAGTGGTTAAAGCGTTGGCTCGTCACGCCGAAGACCCGGGTTCGAATCCCCACATGGGTACAATTTGTGAAGCCCATTTCTGGTGTCCCCCGCCGTGATGTTGCTGGAATATTGCTTAAAGCGGCGTAAAACCAAATTCAGTCAGTCAGTCAGTTATCGGCGGAAGTGTCATAAAATGACCTACACTAAAGAGGACTTACATAACCAGAGCTCGCTGATTTGGTTGACACGCGTTATCGCATCCCAATTGCGTAGATCGATGCTCTTGATGTTGATCACTGGATTGTCTGGTCAAGACTATTTACGGACCGCCGCCATAGCTGGAATATTGCTGGGTAGGGCTTTAAACACCAAGCCAACCAACCAACCAACCAACATTATATGACTCCCATTTAATGATACTACTCTGTCGGACGTAAATAGTACACGCCAATGTTTAGCAGTGGCTAAAAACTAAACACGAAATGTATATTCATACGGATACGGATATCACGTGTATCTTAGACCATGTGTCTTCAGTGTTTCGGGAACTTTTTTCAGCCTCGTAACGTTTTCATAATGTTTGTAATGTTTAAGCCACGCCAAATTTTGTAATGTGTACTTTGGACTGCCCCGCAGTTTACATCGTCGTTTCCTTGAGCAGAATCAGAAAACGCGATCAGCCGATTTTAAGAGCGCTTCCTTCAATTGACAAAGGTCTTGCCATAACTAGTGAGTGAGTGAGTTTAGTTTTACGCCACACTCAGCAATATTCTAGATATATGGCGGCGGTCTGTAAATAATCGAGTCTGGACCAGACAATCCAGTGACCAACAGCAAGAGCATCGATCTACGCAACTGGGATACGATGACATGTGTCAACCAAGTCAGCGAGCCTGGCCACCCGATCCCGTTAGTCGCCTCTTACGACAAGCATGGGTTACTGAAGGTTCATTCTAACCCGGACCTTCACGGGTCTTGTCATAACGAAAAACTCTCAGCAAACAATGAGTGAGTGTGTTTAGTTTTACGCCGCACTCAGTAGTATTCCAGATATATGGAGGAGGTCTGTAAATAATCGAGTCTGGACCAGACAATCCAGTGATCAACAGCAAGAGCATCGATCTACGCAACTGGGATACGATGACATGTGTCAACCAAGTCAGCGAGCCTGGCCACCCGATCCCGTTAGTCGCCCATTATGACAAGCATGGGTTACTGAAGACCAATTCTATCCCGATGTTTCACGGGTGGTAAGCCAACAATTGCCGATGAGGTATATGCGTTGAGGTAAAATTTACTGTCACTGTCGTTGACGTCAGTGTACTGACCGGATCTAAAGATTATCCGGAAAAAAACTCAGAGTCTATGTCAAATTACATAAAAAATGTTTTATTTAAATCATTTTGATAAACAAAAATCGTCATAGATTCATGATGAAGACATACACAGTCATTGAACCAATGCACAAAGAAATGATTCATTCAAGATGAACGGGGACAAAATATACCCCTAGTATATATACTGTTCATCCAAACTGAAAAAACTGTTACAGGAATCGAGGGTATAGACTAACCTTAGTCTCGGAAATAATATGATACAAGATTATTTAAGACTTTCTGTGTAATACTGGAAATGAGCCGAAAGAATATCTCTGTTTTAAGAACTGAACAATTTCACATGCTCATTCTCTCAACCCCTCGTTTGTCACCACAGATGCTTACACAATGGTGTTATATTTCATACAACATATTCATTCTCAAACACAACGGTTCTATTTCCAGTTATGAACAGAAATAGACAAGTATTTTCCCAGAGGCCTGACTAATGGGAGACTGTTCCTACACATATACACGTCTAATGTTAAAGGCTGCCTCACATTGAGAGTCTCATGCCGCATTGAGCCAAAGATGTTATTTCTAAAAGAAATATCCCCTGACATGTTTCCATAAAGTCAAATACTCATATCCTCAACTGATGTTCAGGTCCCTTATTGGGCATCCTGCAGTGAGTGAGTGATATTTTAGCAGTATTCCAGCAATATCATGGTGGAGGGCACCAGAAATGGGCTTCACACATTGTACCCATGTCGGGAATCAAGCCCTTGGCCTCCTTTCACAAAGCACTAAGGTGATCGTAAGTCACTAAGGTAACCTTAGTGCAATGTTAAAGAATGGGAGTGAAGATTAACCTTAGTAAAGGTTGCTTCGTGAAAGGAGCCCCTGGTCTTCGGCGTGAGGAGCGGACGCTTTAACCACTAGGCTACCCACCGCCCCGTAGTTTAGGAGAGTTTTGGGAGTATCCTAGATTATGATCAATGTATTTGTCCTAGACTAACGCTTAGTCTCTGAATATCATTTAAATTTAAAAGGAGACCCAGGGAGACCAGAGATTCAGAACCTGGAGAAATCTAGACTTGCTTCATTTAGGGCTTTAGCATTACAGGGAAGGCTGGGCTGTAGAGAAAAAATATGGTTCAGGGACTGGGTGACAGACTATATTTGTCCATGCTCGCATCCATAGACTTCTTTTCGGAAGTGACGTCACCAGCTACACAATTGCCACAAATCTCTCGCGCATGTATTCTATAGGCATTGAACAGATATTTTAGCACTGTCATGGCAGCGAACAGTCACGTTGTAAGGCTTCCACATTTTCCGAAAACAATAAATCATGAGATGCTCTTTCTACAAAACACCGGATGGGTTAAAATGAAGAACGCGATAAACACATATCACCAATATTAACACTAGTATACATAAATATATATACATCTTTCAGTTTTATATAATGTCATGGAAATTGGTCCCTCAAATATATCCCGTGTCTTCATGTGCCTACATATGCTATAATCCTATCCCGTGTGAATCACGTGACACAGTCACGTGTCATGCACGTGTCACAGTCCAATGCACGTGTCATGGGTCGCAGTCACGTGTCATGGGTATGTGATAATGCCTTCGTTACTGTTTGGTCCACTGTTTAAATATGATTTATATATTTGTATCAATAGTTCAATACATATTGATTTAATTTGATCAATAAACAAACCCTTCCGTAATGTTACAACACTAACCAGAAAAGTGTTAAAAAGTCATTCAACATGTATATCTTGACTGACTGAGTTTAGTTTTACGCCGCTTTTAGCAATATTCCAGCAATATCACGGCGGGGGACACCAGAAATGGGCTTCACACATTGTGCCCATGTGGGGAATCGAACCCGGGTCTTCGGCGTGACGAGCCAACGCTTTAACCACTAGGCTACCCCATCGCCCCTGTATATCTTGAGAAACATAATAAATAAAATAAGAACGGAGAAAAAAAATAAAAAATTCTCCATTTTAGACCTAGAGCTAAGGAAACCTAGACTTAACCAATCATTCTAGTCTTAAGTTGGACTCCTTTCAAATCAAGGATCTGCATGGTGTGACTGTAATCAACCAACTAAGAGGAATTGTTCTGAAGGAATGTAGTATATAACTTGCCCTGATAAGACACACCAGATTGTGCCGGTATTGACTTATAATAAAGCCTCCTAATGTTTTGTTTTTATTTATAATCATGTTTTTTCAAATGTTTGAGCAAGTCTGTCACCGGTGTTAGTTTCTATTGTTTTCTGCAGTTCATAAAACCACGTCACGCAGGTTGATCTAGCAGGACAATTTCAATGATAACTTTGAAAAAATTAAACAAACTTAAATGGCTATTTAAGAAATAAATGAAGGAAAATAGTGCTCCTTTGGTTAAACACGTTGACTGGTTATCACGAGTATACATGTACTCGTGTTATCAATGTAAACAGAATTTGCCACTACGAGTTATTTCTCAGCTACATCAGTGGTATTTTAAAACACTTTCACATGTTGGCAAAATTGCCACAAGAAGCAAACCTTTTGTGTTTCTTTGCTACCGCCAAGAGACGATTGCTTCTTGTAGCTATTTTGCCAACATGTGAAACTTGTTTTAAAATACCACTGATGTAGCTACGAAATAACTCGTAGTTGCAAATTCTGTTACATTGATAACACGAGTACATGTATACTCGTGATAATCAGTCAACGTGTTAAAAGAAACAACGAAACGGTTGTTGACCTATTTGTACCAATGATCAAAACATGAATAAGAGAGGAACCATTTTTTCAGTATAAATTGCTTCTGAAAAACAGCCGCGTTATCGCGCTGGAACGTAATCTTGTGGAAATGGATCTTGAATATTTCTCTGAAATAAAAACAACTTTGAAATCATTTCGTTTGACTTCCAACACTATCACTGACAAGTAACTGAACGAAATAACACCTCCAAAAGCTTCATGTGAGAACCTGACTTGATTATCTGCCCTAATGTCCACCAGAACATGAAACAGAAAATCTTCTTCGGATAACAAGGATCGCTCAAATTTGTCGTGTGACGGTGATGTAAAACTGTAATCGATATCACATCAAATAAATTCAGGAGTAATCGAATCAGCGATAATTTCTGTGTCAGTTTGATTTTGATTGAACTTTATGAAGACGTTTCCGTGGTAACAACGTCAATCGTTTTGATATTAGCAACGGCCTTTACTTACGGATCTTGTGGTTAAAGTGTGTTTTCGTAAGGAGTATCGGCTTACTGAAGACACCAACACTACAGAGATGGGTATAAAATAACATGCCCGTAGATTTTGTCACAAGTGGGGGTAAGTTGAAGTCACATTTTTAACACATATCTGTTATAACACGCATGAAGCAGCAGTGTTATCTAAACATTAAAACAATTTAAAAGGATATTGTGTCCAGCTGTAACGAGATATATTCTAGTACTACAGTTACAAAAGCTATTTTCAGAATTCATATGTTCTTTGATGGGCATTTTTAGAAGCTGGGGTGATGAAGAATGATGATAATTTTATGCATATACAACTTCTATATTCTGTGAAAGCGACGTTTCGACATAGATTCTAATGTCGTTGTCAAGCAAGTGTCACTTATCATCATTATTCTTACTTTTTTTTTATTCTGAAGACTTAATCAAGCTAGAATAAATAAACTTGAAAAAATACTGTTTGAATTTATATTTGTACGTGAGCAAATGTCGCCTAGCGTCATTACACTTACCAAATGATCACGTAGACAATTACTACCTCCGTCGGAGATGTCACGTGACTACTTCCTATCACTAGGCATACATCCGAATTCTTGACCATCTTGTCACCAGTAAAAACAACATCATCAATTAGCACTTATTAACAACTTGAAGCTATCTACAAAACAAATAAATACAAACAGGTATAAATGTAGACGTATTTCAGACCATAACTTCACCATCTGACCTTGAACATCTGAACATGAAAATTCGCAAAAGATGAATTAAATAGATAACAACATGCACAAACATGGCTCCAACAACGGCTCCACTTGTTAGTATTGCTGCAAACGTCGCCGAGTTGTTCCAGTCGAGGATGGAGTAGATGTAGGGCTCGTCGAGGTCGTTACTGCCACCGCAGACGGTGTAAACAACGCTGAAGAGGACGTACACGATTCCGAAAACGGCTGGCTGGTAGAAATGTAGAAGTCGTACCGGCATTGCCGTCACCATGAGGTTGAGGAGGATGTAGATGACGTTCATCCCATGGGTGAGGAAGGGTAGGATGCGGTAGCCGTTGAAGCTATTGCTGACTGAAATGAAATTAGTTTTGTTTCAAATTTAAAAATACGTCACTATGGCGTACACGGTACATTTTCTTCAAACACCCAAGGCGGTGGAGTAGCCTAGTGGTTAAAGCGTTCGTTCGTCTCGCCGAAGACCCGGGTTCGATTCCCCACATGGGTACACCATTTCTGCAATCCAATTCTTTGACGTGACTGTAAAAGTGATGACAACACAGTTACTATGGGAATGGAGGGTGGGGGTAGCCTGGTGGTTAAAGCGTCGGTTCGTCACGCTGAAGACCCAGGTTCGAATCCCCACATGGATACAATGTGTTAAGCCCAATTCTGGTGTCCTCCGCCGTGATATTGCTGGAATATTGCTAAAAACGTCGTAAAACTAAACTCACTCACTACCATGGGAATCTACGTATTGGTGTACTTACGGAAGCGTACTAGCGCCACAACTAAGACGTATTCGAAACATAACATTACATAGAACATACAAGTATCTTTCATCTACGCAGAAAATACTTTCATCTACGTTGATTTTACTTAAATATACGTATACGATATTACTATCTACTTAGGAAAGGTATCAATTTATGTGGAATTATCGACTTGGTAACCATATACGAGGGACAGTCAAAAAGTAGTGAGCCTGACCTAGTAAATGATACAAATGCAGCTGTTTTTATGTTTTATTTTTCTACATATTATCTGTCAACCTCAAGCAAATTGGTTTTGCTACGTTCCAGCCTTACGATCCCCATTTTGTTTGAAATTTTATCTTGGTACCCCCCAAAAAAGTGAAAAATCTGCAATAAATGCACCACAAACTTCAGGTAACAAAATATGCAAGAAACATTTTGTGTGTTTGAGATAGGTAGACGTCCGCTAGAATCAAACTTAGATATTAAAGTGGATAAAAAAGCAATTTGAAAGTACAATCGCTTGTTAAAGTGATTCCCCTTTCATGTTTACTGAAACAGCTTGTTTTGGAGACACTACCCACCCCCGTTCAGACGACGAATTCATAAGGACATAACTTATTCTAATGTTTTCACTTTTTCACACATGATGCTTAAGGTTCAAAGTAAATACTGAATGGTCACACAAGTGTCAACTCTCAGTATATTGTAAACAGGGCCATCTTGAATATCTGGACACAATGTTTTTGAAAGACTAAAATGGGTGTATCCTTAAAAAAACAGCCCTGTCTAAACATAAATCAAGCAATCCAAATCTTTGAATGTTGATTATGACGGGAAGTCATCCAATACTATACTAACATATTTTATATGACATTATCTGAGGGCATACCATTATCCAAGAGGTACTAAATGACGGATCGTTTTTCATTTTCTGCATTTTTTCTAGAAATATTATACCCCAATGTGTTGTGATGACTAATATCTCGTTAATCACATTACCCACATATGTGAATTTTTTTATACGACTTTGCTAATGATTCCTACAAACTAAAATGGAAGCTTTTCAAACATTGGACATCGAGAATATAGTTAGGCCGACTACTTTTTGACCGACCCTCGTATTCTGGAGTATTCGACAAACGCTCAGGGACTGTTTTATGTAACCTCTAGCTTAATTAATAAACACTTTGTTTGACTTTCAACCTAAATTTGTCCTCATTGAGGTACACCAGAACGTTCAATAAAGTAACTCTTCAAAACGTGTTGAAGTTTGGTTAAATGTGTTTATTTGAATTTTTGGCAACATGTTATATATTTTTGTTTAGCCCTTTCTGTATTTCCACAACCTGCTGAAATCATTGTAGTATTAGAGAATAACCCACGAGGTACGAGTGATTACGGGAAATATGTCCCGAGTGAAATTAATGTTCATTGTCCCGAGCTTTAGGATTAACGTCGAGAATCACTAAATTGCACACTGTGCAAATATCAAAAAGATATTACACGGGATCTCCTCACCCGTATGGGTAATAATGTACTATATCCAACGTTTGTTATACGAATATGACGGATGTGATTCGTAACTTCATAACACAATAGCACGGTCTTAGTAACGACAGGAGCGATTATAACATGGAGATGGAAGTATCTTCTACGTAGATGAAAGCACCTTCTACGTTGGCAAAAACAATTTTGACGTAGACGATAATTTATTTTAGAATGTGCACTAATACGCTTCCTTACGTGTACCAAACGTATTCGCCAAATACATTCCATGAAGAATAGTTTTTATCATTGGCGTAGGGTCAAGGTCGTACACCTGCTATACTGGGTCACGTTTACTTTATGAGCTGCAAAGACATGTGTGAGAATTTTATAACTTTTATATTTGCTGCTGTCCTTAATTGTGAACCAGTACTAAATATTATACGCGCTGTAAACAGGTCTCAATAAACAAAATCTTTTAATGAACGCACTTATGCCTGACATGTCTTCCTACGCAGGTTGTTTCTGTCGACGGTGGTCATGTAATCTTCATTACGTTGGATTCAGATGAGATCAAACGGTCTATTACTAAGTTGCTCGGCTCTATATTATTTTCAGTGTTTACAAGAAAGTACAGCGACCTGTTCATACTTACAGTCGTGGAGTAAGAGCCAGTACACCAGGCTTATCTCGATCCCGATAGCGTTGCTGATGGTGGCTTGTACCCATAATACCTTGCAGTACCACGGCATCGGCGCTTCCGCCCCTGAAGCAAGTCAAAGGTGTAGATTAATATTGGTCGTGGGGTCGAATCCCAGGTTCGGCCCGAATATTATTCTTTGTTTGTCAATACCATATTCGTGTGTCACTGTTGGATTATAATCATTTCAATATCGACTTGGCCTCCGTCGGCTCTTTGGTATATATTCTGTTTAGTTGTAACAGTGGTAGTGAGTGAGTGAGTTAAGTTTTACGCCGCACTCAGCAATATTCCAGCTATATGGCGGTGGTCTGTAAATAATCGAGTCTGGACCAGACAACCCAGTGATCAACAGCATGAGCATCCATCTGCGCAATTGGGATACGATGACACGTGTCAACCAAGTCAGCGAGCCTGACAACCCGATCCCGTTAGTCGCCTCTTACGACAAGCATGGGTTACTGAAGATCGATATTCTAACCCGGACCTTCACGGATCTGTAACAGTGGTAGTAGTAGTAGTAGTAGTAGTAGTAGTAGTAGTAGTAGTAGTAGTAGTAGTAGTAGCAGCAGCAACAGCGGCGGGGCGGTGGTGGTAGACTTGCACTAGTCTCTTAGTGAATAAATAATAGTTTAAATGATATTTCTAAAACATATTTAAAAAAACGTTGTCCCTCTAACAGATCGGCGTCCTTCTATTGTCCGCTTATCCGGAGTTGCCTCTTTAAAGGATTATAGAATTACTATACATCCATGGGCTTCATTCAGTACAGCCTTGGAACAAGGCAATAGCAGCAGTAGCAGCAGCAGCAGCAGCAGCAGCAGCAGCAGTAGCAGCAGTAGTAGTAGTAGTAGTAGTAGTAGTAGTAGTAGTTATTCGCTTCAACTTGGTATCACATTCACTCACCTTTAAGGAAGCTCTGCTTGTTGACGTAGAAATGTACTGAGACAATGAGATCCAAGATGGCGGAGCACGTGAGGATTAGGTAACACCAATTTGTCAGAAAGATAAACCATTTAATTCTGTTTTCTTCCCGAGTGGCGTAAAATTGCGTGAGAAACCCCGATATTGAGATGGCGGACACGTGATATACAGCCCAGATCAGTCTCCAGATGAGGTAGATGACGGACGGACCACACTGGAAACAATCAGAGAAACATGATGGAGCCTTCTTACCTCGTATGTAAGTCATATAGCATTACAACAACACATCCAGGAGGCCACTTTCCCGAGCTGCTCCGAATGGACACAGTATAGCCTTGTATGAGCGTATCGTGTGTTCCCGGTGTGTTTAGCCAACAGCTGTACAAGAGGTAAATGGGGAAGGATTAACGCCGGTTTAAACAGTATTTCAGTTACATCACGGCGTTTCACGAAGGGATCGTAGCGCTAAGGTGATCGTAACTCCCATACTTTAACATAGCCTTACGTCAGTCGTAGCGCTACGATCGCTTTGTGAAACGTCGTGAGACCGAAAAGGTTTCTTTTCACAACACGTTTGCTTTTCATGACACCCATGACATCAATTTCTCATATTATATTGCCCTAAGAAACAAATGTTTTATTTCATTTTTAATAGATCACTATATTTTTATCAAATAAGATGTCACACTTGGCCTTAAAATAGCCGTGTGTTTACGCGGTCTGAAGCTACCCCTGGGCCGTCCGGGGCAGCTTAGATCCGTAATACCTCATACTGACCGCTTAAGGTGGCTAAAATCGTCATTGGATGTTTAGTGAATGAGTGAGTGAGTTACGTTTGACGACACTTTAAACGTTTATTCAGTCACAATATGAGATTCTGGCTTTATGACTTTGCCTGTGAGAATCACTCATCCACCCACTCACTCACTCACTCACTCGCACACTATCAACTCCCTTCTGATTCTTCTGTTACATCGTTTGAATGTTATTTTAAGTTGTATACCCGTGAAGGTCCGGGTTAGAAAATTGATCTTTAGTAACCCATGCTTGTCGTAAGAGGCGATTAACGGGATCGGGTGGTCAGGCTCGCTGACTTGGTTGACACGTCATCGTATCCCAGTTGCGTAGATCGATGCTCATGCTGTTGATCACTGGATTGTCTCGTCCAGACTCGATTATTTACAGATCACCGCCATATAGCTGGAATATTGCTGAGTGCGGCGTAAAAATAAACTCACTCACTCACTATTTTAAGTTGTGAGAAACATAACGAAGTCATGTGACCCATTTTCAACCATTGATTTTGATGTTCAAAGTTCACTCACTCACTAGTTAAATCCCATCATTTACAAGTCAAACCCTCCATCAATCCCTCACTCACGCTTTAATCTCCACATCGCCAGTCAAAGCCCCCAAAATATAAGTTATAATGAATCCAGTTGCGAAAAGCCTGAAATCCTTTAATAGGTTACATTGGATCTTAAGACAGTATAGAGCGCTCACTCACTCACTGGGCGGTGGGGTAGCCTAGTGGTTAAAGCGTTAGCTCGTCACGCCGAAGGCCCGGGTTCGATTCCCCACATGTGTACAATGTGTGAAGCCCATTTCTGGTGCCCCCCGCCGTGATATTGCTGGAATATTGCTTAAAAACGGCGTAAAACCATACTCACTCACTCGCTCGCTACCTATCAATTTAAATGCATTTCCATCTCACCTGGGCCCGTCCAAACAATCCTGGGTTGTCATGGCCAAGGAAGAAGCTCCGGACCCGAAACTGCTCCCTTATTCTCTGCCCACAGGTCAAGGTCGCCGCATCGATCTGCCGCCATGACGGTTCTTCCTTCTCGCTTGACGCTGAAACAGCAGGCTTCGTGTCACCCATGTCGTTTGAAATAACGCACTCATTAAGATATTGGACGTTCATTGCGAGCCGGAGTTTCACCAGAATCTGTTGGGGTTGAACCAGGACGAAATGCCTCGGGTCTCGATACCGACAAAGACTGTCTGTGTGGTATAGAACATGTTCCAAAAACAATACGAGAATCGGACGCGGAGACTGTTTTGTTTAGCCCTGTCACGATGCATCACCACCTAAACTTTGATACAGACTGTATTTTGCTATCCATGAGATTCAACCCGCCGCTCTTTGGATACACTGCCTTGTTGTTTTTGTTGCTGATTTTTTTAATTTAAAAAATTTGAATTTTCATTTGAGTGTAGTTAAAAAAGTGAAGTTAAAACGTTTAATTCATTTACCAGGATAACGAATGACAAAAAAATAATTTGAACAAAAAACAAACAAATGAAAAGCTCCGCATCAGCAATATTTCCTCGCGGTTTCCGGCGAGCTGATTTTGTTTAAGTTCTTTGTACATATGAGCAGGTCCTTCTGAGTATAGTGCCGTCGTGGTTTGAATGTTGCGTATTTTTTCACCCGTGGTTAAACATCTGAATGATATTAAAGTAGGGAAGGGAGGGGCTGATTCGGGGTTTGTGAATCGGGCCTTGTGTCGGAGTCACGGCTTTCTGATACAACAACAACGGAACAGTGGACGGTCTGTTTCAGGACTAAAACCTTGAAATCTATCAGGTGTTGGACAATAAATGTCTAAGAAGCATTTCTCTGAATCCCCTCCAAGCAATCACGTTAAAGTCACGTTTATGTGTCATGTGACCAGAATGAATGCCAAAGACGTTTCAAACTGAGCATATTCTCAATTTAAGTCGAAAACATGATAAAACATTTATCAAATTAGTTCTCGTTGCTTACAATGTAGCGTTCATAATTTCAGTTATGGGAATTTGTTTTCATGAATCCTTTCAAAATAATCTGCTCATAATCACATGGATGATATAATATTATCAAATAATTGTTACACAATGATAGGCGTTTTAGTACTGTATACTTCAGTCTTTCCTGAAATATATTTGAACCATTCTTCGCGTATGCAATATATGTATATGCTTAATAACATTTTAAGTAATGAGAAAAGAAAACACTTAAAAACTACAATCTCAATTGCATAAAGAAAATCTTTATGCAAGTATTATTTCTTATGTGAACTTTGAGTTCAAGTTGACACATGTAAGTATATTGAAACTGGGGAAAACGTGTTTCCGAGCCGTTTGGGGCGCCGATTTACTTGCACTGAGTTGTGTCCCCTTGGTGTGCCAGGAACCTATGACCGTTTGTTCGAGTTCGAGACTGTCCCTGATTATGCCTCATGGCAATACCGTATGACAGGCATGACAATACCGTACCTGTTCAATGTGTTTCTCCAAAGTGATGCGGTCGAAAATCTATATAATTTCGAGCTTTCTTCCAATGCCGATTTGACACCTTGAAATAACTCAAATACTCCTTACAGGGTCGTCAAACCAAACTCCTAAACTAACGCTTAGTCCCTGAATATGTATAATTTTGATAGTAACAAATATAACCATTTAAATTGAAAAGGATCCCCAGCGAAGATTTAACTTGAACCTTGGGAAATCTAGATTTTATTATTTAGGGCTTTAGCGTTGCAAGGAGGACTAGACAGTAGGCACAATAATGTGGTTCAGGGACTGTCAGACTACAAAACTCTACATCGAGATGGTGGAAACGGTGTGAAGTTGGAGCTGTGATAATGTTATGAGCTCTGTGACAAAGGCATATAGCCACTTAAATAAATTATGACAAATTTTCTAAAATATATTTTGGCAGCTGTTTAATTCATCTAACTTGTTTTTTAGGGGAACACATTTCCACAACAGCTGCAGGTTGATGGGACACAGTTAGCTGGGAGATATTGTTTTATCATACACGACACGACTTTAACACCCAACATCGGAACCAGATGCTGTGACTTTGCGCCCTTCATCGTATGAGAATCTGACACTCTGTGTACATCTGTCACCTCCCTGGCACCATGTGACCTGATCACGTGACCTGATCACCAGACGTTGATGCACACGGGTGCACACAGCTGCATGCCACAACTACCACCTTCCGGTTGCACATGCGCACAAACATCAAAAGGAAAGGACCGTGTCCTGTTCCTCTCATTAAACTAATGCATGTGCACCACAGATACGTGCCAGTCACTACCACCGATCCTAACAGGTTATCAAATTAATATTCGGTTACGATATTTTGGGTATCAGTTCACAACGCACTTGAAAAGGATATCGCATAATCGCACTTAAAGTAAACACAGAAAATTATTAGCCTTGATGTTAATAAATCGACTCGGTGCTGTTGCAGTCACGCTTCGCTGCTAGGGGGCGCTGAGGTCAGAAGTATGTACTAGCGCTTGACATGTTTGACACAGATGGGCAAGAGCATCATGGTATATAAGTATTTGTCAGAGGTCACGGAGTTCACGAGGAATGTGGGGAAATGCAATCATACGCAGTGTTTGTTGTTAATCTAGATGGCGAGAAAACAGCGTGACCTATCTGTTAAAAGGTCGAGGGAAAGACGATAGCGGTTGACAGACGTGTCATAAATACGTCGGATGTAAAGGGGGGGAGAAGGTCATCGACGGCAGATCAAGTGGTGCTACCGCGTCAAAGTAATGGCGGATGTCGACACTGAAGTCTCTAGACTAAAGCTTAGTGTCTGAATATATGTAATTTTGATAGTAACAAACAAACCCATTTTAATTCAAAAGGAGCCCCAGTGAGATGGGAGATTCTGAGGAAATCTAGACTTGCTTCATTTAGGGCATTGCAGAAAGGGCTGGACGGAAGGGAAAATTATGTGGTTCAGGAACTGTGAGACGGACTATGAAATCTCCTGAAATCTGAAGGTCCGGGTTAGAATGAGCCTTCAGTAACCCATGATTGTCCCGACGAACGGGATCGGGTGGTCAGGCTCGCTTGCTTGGTTGACACATGTCATCGGTTCCCAATTGCGCAGTTCGATGCTCATGCTGTTGATCACTGGATTGTCGGGTCCAAACTCGATTATTTACAGACCGCCACCATATAGCTGGAATATTGCTGAGTGCGGCGTAAAACGAAACTCACTCACTCCTGAAATCCAACATCTAACTACTCGCCAAATATGGAATTGATTGTTAACACAATTTGAAGGAATATTTACGAAAGGCCAGAATTAACACGCACTTTACCATTTCAGAATGAAAATGCTTTGGTTAAAAAAACAGCATGTGCTTGCACTTGTTTTATAGCTAGAGTGTGCATGAATTGGTAAAAAAGTTACAGCGTGCATTCACTCGAATTCGTTACATAGCCTCAGTTCCCCGGCCGCGTCATACCAAAAGACGTTAAAATATGGTACTTGTTGGTCCCTGCCTGGCGCTCGGCATTAATGGGTACAACAAGGACTGGTCGGCTCGGAGTCAGTATAATGTGTCTGAGTGGGGTATTCATGCTTCACTGCGGCATGGTATCCCAGTGGGCTAGCACTATAAAACCAGCTTCAGTCTTGGCTAGTACAAGCAGCCGCACATACACATACACACGCATGCACGTCGTCATATGAGCGAAATATTCTCAAGCACGACGTTAAACCCAATTTCACCTCACCTCACCTACATAGCCTCAGGCTTGATTCCCTCAGAATTTGAATATCCCATCTCACCAGGGTTTCATTTTATAAGGCATTGTTGTTTTATCAAAAGTATATGTATTCAGAGACTAAAGATTAGTCTACATTTATCTGACTGACCGCTCGACGACTGCCTTTAATGTAGGCAACGAGTAAAGTAGCCATTGTTATTTCGAATTGACTCCAGATCAGGATAGATGAAATACTCTGGCACGAAAGGTTCAACCTAAACTCGCACAATTAAGTCTCTAAGGTAATAATTAACAGTTTAAATGAAAATCTCTAAAAAAAATCATAAATAACAGACTGGGGTCCTTATCTTGACTTGCCCCTTTAAAGGATAAAATTACTATTCATGCATCGGCTTAGCACTCAGTACAGCCTTGGAGCAAGGCTAGGCTTAATCCAAAGTCTGAAGAAAACCAGTGTAGATGTCATTCCCGTCAACAACTCATCATTTACGCTGCATATTCTCCCCAGACACAACTCAACCGAATTACGCCAGGCAGCACAACACACAACCAACAAAACACGAAGTCAAATACCCTGATACGCAGGGTTCTCACACTCCCAGGATTCCTCCGACATCGCACTTGGACTCACGGGTAACGGAACAGCTTACGCAACAGCTCGAGCACGAAGGTCGAGCCTCGTCCTGGTGGCCTAAAGAACATGAATGGCTGCAGAAGAAGAAATAAATTCAGTCGGAAGTTTACCATCTGCTGAAGATTAATGTTGGATTAGTTCTACGCGTTCTTTAGTCCCGGGAATGATTGTAACGTGACATTGTTTTTAAAACTTTTAACTGGAAACGCAGCATTGAATTTCTTGATTTTTTTGAGTTGCTGCATCTGTCCAGACAAGGCACTCCTGCGCTCCGTTATCGCGAAATGATTTATTATTCAAAACTGTGCTCTGTGGGCAACACGCATACGTGCAAAGAACAAATGACACACTTCCTGCATGTAGGTTTTAAGAAGTAATTGCGCATGTTCGCACTACGAATATCTTCGTTTCCGGTCACATGATACGAAAGGCGCGGTGGTTTCTTAGCTGGTTCTCGGCTCGCTATGCTCATAACCAACTGGAGATATGAAGAGACGGGGCCCAGTTTACATTGTTGCAGGGAGTTAATGTTACAGGGTTGCTGAGATCATTTGAAGACAGTCCCTTTCTCCCTGCGCATTTTGCTAAGGGCGGCACACTATTTTACAAGCAACCGCTCAACACGGATACATTAGTTTTGTCAAACCATCTCTGCTTTTATTGCGTCTGAGAAATACACAATGCCATTTAG